TGTTTTTTTTAATCATAAACATATATTTGATGTCTTTCATTTTAGGGAAATTACTTGGGTCCTTAATTAATTAAACATATCAACTACAAATTAATTAAACAACATTGGACTTGATATCTAATCAATACATATGACATATACGCTTCTCTTATAATCAAAGTAAGACATTTCTTCACATATAAAATAATAAGTTGTTTAAAGATGAAAAGTTGAAGTGGACTTTGTGGAGTTGGACACTTTTTGCCCTCCGCCCCTTCATATTGTTTGGATGTTTGATTGATTAATGTTTTCAAATAGTTCATCATTTCTTGCCTCTAATTATATTTTTAATGTTTATAATTTCAATTATCTAGTGGAAAAAAAAATCAAGTGAAAAAAAATCAAATTAAATGGGTTGGTTCTTGGGCCCGAGTATGGCACGAGCACGAGCAAGGGCACGGCACGAGCCCGGCCCGGCCCGTTTCAATATGGACATAGGCTTTGGGCCGGGCCGGGATTAATGATTTTATTAAATGGGCCGACCCGACACGGCACGAAAATGTTAAAAGCACGAGTTTAAATGGGATGGGCCGGTTCGGCACGGCCCGTTTGACACCTCTATATGGAAACAATCACAAAACCAGCTCTTGACACAACTCTGTTCTCCTCCTTCCTTCAACTGGTCGATGTGGAACAATGGGTCAATACCCTGTCTTGAAGAAATCTTTGCTGTCTTTGTGCTTCAATGCAAGTACATCTCTAAATCCTCTCCGCAGCCTTCTGATCATCATATAGGTATAATTCATCCAACAATTATAAAATAAATAAAATTAGAAACTGAACCAATTTGTTGATTTATTAAGTTGCAACAAATGAAAGAACATAAAATATATATAGTTGTTTTGGAAGTTTGGAGAGAAAGGAAGAGAAAGTGATTGTGTGATGAGAGGCCAAGCCAGGCAGCACACTGAGGTGTAATGGCTCTTGATCTATGTGGTTGTGGTCCAGTTTTTTCTTTTTCTTTTTTTCTTTCTCCTGGTACCAAACAACCCCAATCAAATTTTTATAGAGTTTTGCGTTTGCTACGCACCCACCCGTTTCGGTTGGGTGGCCCTACTTACCCGAGGGTAGAGGGCGTATTTTGTGCGACTTCACCGTAGTCAATTATCTAGTGGAAAAAAAAATCAAGTGAAAAAAAATCAAATTAAATGGGTTGGTTCTTGGGCCCGAGTATGGCACAGCACAAGCCCGGCTCGGCCCGTTTTAATGTGGACATGGGCTTTGGGCCAGGCCGGGATCAATGATTTTATTAAATGGGCCGGCACGGCACGGCCCGATAAATTAAATGAGCTGGCCCGGCACGATACGAAAATGTTAAAAGCACGAGTTTAAATGGGACGGGCCGGCCTAGCACGGCCCGTTTGACACTCTACACCAACCCTTACGAATTAAAGTACAAGCTAATTAATTTATTAATTAATTATCTGCCTCAAATTATACAATTTCCTACCTTTTTATGAGGTCAGGAGATTTATTGTGAACAATCTCAATTGAAAATTTGAATTTGGAATTAAATCTGAAAAGATCGTAAATTCTTCACACTTTGTTTTATTTTAACATAAACAAACAAATAACATCCAAAAGCATCATTGATAAACCAATGCGAGAAGATAGTGAGCTATCTCATCTCAAAATTGTTGTATTGAAAACGCGGCTATAATCAAATAATTACCCACGAATGCAAAAACAAGGACCCAATATTAGTAATAAACCAAAAAACATATCTAGAATAGATGGAATGGGAAACCAATTCCTTCCTACGAGTCGGAATTAATTAATTTATTCAGAACATGAAAAATTCTAGACATATTCAAGCCAAGCCACTTGAGCTCTCTCTCTCTCTTTTACTTGTCTTCTTAGCAATTTTCCGTCTTCTTCGAAATTTTTTGTCCAATCGCTTCTGTATCCGCTTCTGCTTCTGCAAAGCCAACTGTCATACAACAACAATCAAATATGAAAAGTGAATCACAACATTTCCAAAGAAGCATGCATCCCAACCCAAACATTGACATATCAACTTGATTTTACATATACAGATAGATCACCATATTCATAGACTCTTGGAACAATCAATCCACCTATATATATATATCAAACATGAATCACTTTGGATAATACATTAATTTTACCAAATTTTACTTCCTCACCTGCTGCTCTGTGAAATTCCTCATACTCTCCTGTTCCTTTAAGTACATATACTCCCACATCTGCAAAAATCCAGTACAAAACTGTTTCAGTACAAAAACTATAGGAATTGTTTTGACTCCATTAACAATCCCTCCACATATCATTAGAATAGTATTCTTAAAGATGACCAGCAGAGCCTTGATATTTCCAGAGCAAGACCTAGACGACATTGTGTTGTGTGTGCCTAACACATCATTTGTGGTCTGTCTAATAATATGAATAATAAGGACCCCCGCGAGGGAAAACAATGCTCATGGTCAACCAACAACAATCAAGAACACAAAGAAGGTGATTGCAACAATATTTACAAACAAGAAGCTAATAAAGTATACCAAATACATGGTTATTATTTCCTCACCTCTTGTGTCCAGTCTTCAGGATTGTCAGGGATGGATGCCTCGAATTCTTCAATAGTACGAGGAGCACGCTACAACAATCATACATGCAAAATTTAATTCCAAAGTGATATTACAACGTTTACAAACAAAAACAAGAAGTAAAGGCATGCATCTCAACACCGGCTCATCTACTTGATTACATAGATGACCACGAACCCAGATGGAGATTTTTCTGGAGCAGAGAAAAAACTTTTGTATGTGCTTAATATGCAAATAATAGACCTTAATCTACTTTCATTAATATTAAGTGATTTATTAGATGGCAAATCTTGAAAAGAAGACGAGGAAAACTGGGAATCAACACCTAAACAAGTGCACAACTTGTTAAAGAGACAAGTGACAAGTTTCAGTTACCGATTCAACAAGTGCACAAAATCTGGAGATGGACTTCATAGCCCTATGGCGTTCCTCTTCCGTGTCGCAATGTCTCTTCACTGACCTTTCAAAGATGTCACGACTTAAACCAAGAAAATAATCAGGATACCTGCACAATGGGAAAGAGGGGAAAAATCACATCGTACATGAAGACACGTCAAAAATTAGAAGAATAGAGGCCAAACTACGTGAGTGAGGATTTTTACTCGCTCGAATCCTGCTCTCCCTCCTCCTCCTCCTCCTCCTCCTCCTGCCGTCCAGGAGCTTCGTCCGTTTTCTTCTCTATCTTGAGATTTGACATAAGGGGAGGTAACTGAATGGCAAGTTGGATAGGACATTTTTTTGTGAAAAAAGCCAACGACAATCATACTTTTAAGTTTATTTTAGATTAAAAAGAAAGTTAAATACTGAAAAAAAAAAAAAAAAAAAACGAAAGAGAGAGAAAGACAAACGCATGCATACAGTATCACTTGGGCAAGACAGAGCATTGCGTTTTTCCACCGTTCGGTCGAGCATCTCTAAAAGGACTTGCAGCGACTCGCTAATCATTGTTTCTTTCTTGGAACGAGCGAGTGAGCGATGGGTGGGAGAGAGGAGAAGACAAATCTTTTTTAGGGTTGGTTGGAGAAGAAGACTTCGCGTTTTTCTTTTTTGTTGGAAGAACACTCCACCGACTTACACGCTATTATTAGTATTACCATGGACAAACCTGTCCAGTTTTTAAAATAGGGCCCAAGACCAAACACACGTATTGTTTTAAGTTTAGTATTAAAAATAAAGAAATTTACGGAGATTGCCTCTCAACCTCTTCTGCAAAAGAAGGAAATCCCCAAAGATAGAAATCGAAAAGCCATGGATTTTTCAATTGAGAATGGCTACCAGAAGAAAAGGAGGAAGAACTACAATCACCAATCGCCATGGTACCCCCTCTCTGTCTCAGATCGAGTTGATATATATATATATATATATATATTTTGTTCCTCGCATATCATGGTGAATCTATGCTCTTGCATGAACCTACTGCTAGTTTGGGCATTAACCTTTTGATCGAATTCATTCCAAAGTATATTTTGAAATGTTGTATATACTTCAACAATTCATTCCAAAAGGTGACACCATGTGAGGTCTCCTTCGCTAATTGAAAAATCAAAGGATAGTGATGATTTGTTGGGTAGTGAATAATATGGAGGACAAATGTTTAAGGTTTTAATTGTATATAGTTTAGCATCACAAATTATGAATGAATCGTTTTATGTTGTGTATTGAAAAAGCTTGTGATGCAGGAGCATCCATCCTAGCCAAAAAGGGGATTATTCAATTAATTTTTTTCCTATCTTAACTAGGATTTGATTTAATTTCTTGTTTTGTGAACTTCCTTTGCCAAACTGACAAATTTAACACTTCCAAACCAGTCTATCAACATCTTTGTACATTATGATCAATCACCATAGCCAATATGTTTTATCCCTACTGAAATGTCCTAATCTATTACCACGAAGCTCCTTGATAATTTGTTCACGAAACAATCCCTCGGAAATACACAACAAATTACCTTTAAATAAATACCCATCGGAAATACACAACAAATTGCCTTTAAATAAATACCCACCAAGTATTCGAAATGGATGCATCTTTCAATCAGTAGGACTTTAGAGTTCAAATTCTATAGAGCTGAAATATGAATCTATAACATACTGATCTTTAAACCCCTCAAATCCAATAACTTGAGTACTCATCTTAGTTAACAACATATTCCTTATGCCCAAAGCATCTTCAACTTTGTTATTTAGAACCCCCAGCCTTGTACAGTACTTGAGAGAAAAGTTGAATGCTTGAAAGTAGGAACATCCGAGAAGATAATCTCATCTAAAAATTGTTGTATTGAAAAACGGGGTTATTATCAAATATTACTCACGAATGCAAAAACAAGGGCAAACCAATTCCTTTCTCCGAGTCAGCATTAATTTAATTAATTTTGAACATGAAAAATACTAGACATATTCAAGCCAAGCCACTTGAGCTCTCTCTCTCTCTTTTACTTGTCTTCTTCGCAATTTTCCGTCTTCTTCGAAATGTTTTGTCCAATCGCTTCTGTATCCGCTTCTTCTTCTGCAAAGCCAACTGTCATACAACAACAATCAAAGATGAAAAGTGAATTACAACATTTCCAAAGAAGCTATTGTGGCATGCATCCCAACCAAAACATTGACATATATCAACTTGATTTTACATATATAGATAGATCACCATATTCATACTCTTGGAACAATCAATCCACCTATATATATATCAAACATGAATCACTCTGGGTAATACATTTGACCAAATTTTACTTCCTCACCTGCTGCTCTGCGAAATTCCTCATATCCTCCTGTTCCTTTTCGTACAGATACTCCAACATCTGCAAAAATCCAGTACAAAACTGTTTCAGTACAAACTATAGCAATTTTTTTGACTCCATAAACAATCCATCCACATATCACATTAGAATAGCATTCTTAAAGATGACCAACAGAAGCTGATATTTCCAAAGCAAGACCTAGAGACATTGTGTTGTGTGTGTCTAATAATATGAATAACAAGGAGCCCCGCAAGCAAAAACAATGCAAGCGTCGAAAGCTCTCCTACAACAATCAGATATTCAAACTCCGGCCTGATTAAAACATTTGCAAACAAGATATTGAATTAATGCCTCTTAACATTGGCAGCATATTTACTGGATGACATGATTGACCAGTGGAACAAGATGTATGTTTCCATGACACGGTTCATCAAACAGATATACGAATAATAGACATCTGAAAAGCAATTAAGGTGCTAAATATACACACCAAGACCAGACAAAATGGGGAATTACTTACTATTTTGCCATCTCAGACTCATAGTCAACCAACAACAATCAAGAACCCAAAGAAGGTGATTGCAACAATATTTACAAACAAGCTAATAACGTTTATCAAATACATGGTTATTATTTACTCACCTCTTGTGTCCAGTCGTCAGGATTCTCAGGGATGGATGCCTCGAATTCCTCACGATTACGAGGAGCCCCCTACAACAATCATAGATGCAAAATTTAATTCCAAAGTGAGCAGAGGAAAAGCTTTTGTATGCGCTTTATATGCAAATAATAGACCTCATAAAAACAACTGAAGTGCCAAATCTTGAAAAGAAAACGAGGAAAACTGCGAATCACACTGGTTATTACCTTGTCACGAATGGTTGTACCAACATCTAAACTAGCAGCATAATAAGTAAATAAATAAAAAGAGCAGAAAAAAGGAAAAGACATACCCAACTTGTTATAGAGACAAGTGACAAGTTTAGTTAGGTAAGGATCTTACCGATTGAAGACTTGCAAACAATCTGCAGATGGACTTCATAGCCCTATGACGATCCTCCTCCGTGTCGCATGCTTCATTCACAAACTCTACAGTAGGTTCATGAAGAAAACCAAGAACAGAATCGGCATACCTGCAGAATGGGAAAGGGGGGAAAATCATATCATACATGAGGACACGTTAAAACTTACAAGAATAGAGGCCAAACTAAATGAGTGAGGATTTTTACTCGCTCGAATCCTGCTCTCCCTCCTTCTCCTCCTCCTCCTGCCGTCGTCCAGGAGGGTCGTCTGTTTTCTCCTCTATCTTGAGATTTGACATAAGGGGAGGTAACTGAATGGCAAATTGGATAGAATTTTTTTCATAAAAAAATCAACAACAATCATACTTTTTAAATTTACTGAAAAAAAAAGGGGAGAGAGAGGGAGAGAGAAACGCATGCATACAGTCTCAGTCGCGCCAGACATAGCATCTCTTTTTTTCATCAGAGCGTCGATCATCTCTAAAACGACTCGCATCGACTCGTCAATCATTGTTTCTTTCTTGGAACGAACGAGTGATGGGTGGAGAGAAGAGAAGACAAATCCTTTTTAGGGTTTGATGCCTTTGCCTGTGCCTTTATATAGATATATAATTTATTTTTTTCATAATTTCTATAGATAATTTTTTAGGAAATTATAGATATAGATATAGATGCCTTTTTTATTTATTTCTGCATCGGCCAGGAAGGCAGCACGAGGTGGACGACGGGCTGGTAGGGGTAAGAAGGAATTATTTAGGTCTGTTAGCATCGTCTTAATGGTTGGACTTTCCTCACATACCCATTACTGATACGTAAACATGCCCTAAATGGTTGGGAGTGAGGCCTTCAGATTTAGAAAAGTACAAAATTGATGTGGAAGGCAATGAATTCGGAGATCATGCTGTCACTATGGCCAAAAACTTATTGGAACAAGATTTTGTGAAGATGGACGACAATTGGGTTAGTGAGATAGAAAAGATGTTGGAGATCGGAAAGAGCATAGATATTGAAAGATTGCATGCCAAAGGGAGTCAATATTTGTCAATGAAATTCTTGGCACAAAAACTAGAATCAAAGGATTGGATATAGAGGAATAGTATATATGCAAAGGCGTTCAAGGAGTGTGTTGGCTTTGCTGGAGGACTACTATTGTTACTTAAGAATGGTTCAAGCCGCGAAGTAGCTGCTTGTGGACTTATTGTTTACTATGAGCGTTGTTAATTCTAGGTAGAGTGGAAAGCTTAGATGTATTTAATTAGTATTATGAGGTTAAATTCATTAAGTTGCAGAGTTATGATTTTTTTATAAGTTTCCCAATTCTGCATGTAAAGACATGGAATAAGCAGACATTTCCAACCATATATATGTAAGAGTTTCAACAATATATAACGTGGTTCCCGATATTAATTTTGACGACTAAATTGAGCACAATTAATGTTGAACACAAAGGGTGAGCACAAGAACCCATTGTGGGGTGGACCTGGATGCAGGAAATATTAGTTTAAGTATGCTACACCATTTTAGCCGATTGTAGCAAGCAATTAAAGTATGCACATTGTTCCGAACACATAATTAATGGTAATAGCACCGAATGATGATATATAGCATATGTACGTCCAGGTACTTGGCCATACGATGAAGCACAAGCTTGTACTCCTTTCCTCGAAAAGAAGTGATACAATATTTCTTTCTTCCTTAGCGCAAGCTACGTACCTCTATCATCTTTAGTCAATTCTTATTGTTCACTCTTTGTTTTGTGAAATTAAAAAAAATTACGACATGTGTATCTAGGGAATAGTCGCTTCAAAGTGAATTTGTATTGAGGTTTTATTCTGGAACTTCACCACCCTCAAGGCAGCTTGTTGGCACAGCTAGGCTGGCTGCTCAAACTCATGCCATTTGAACACCACCAGTAACTTCCAGTATTCTAGCTAGGTCGATTTAATAACAGGAGTGTCAAGATGCGAAGCTCTTTTTCCGATGAACGAGAGTGAGTTACTGAGAACCCTGAGATGTTTTGGTTTTGGTATACAAGGATGCAGGGACGGACCCAGGAATCTTAGCTCGTAGGGTCATAGTGTAAAAGTTCAAATTTTTTTTAAAGATTAAAATAACATTGAAAATGAAACTATAGTACATTAATTCATAATTCATGTAAAAAACAACATTACAAATTACAATTGGCCACGACGAGGTTTCATATTTTGAAAACGTAGCATTATAGCTTCATTTTCAATACAATCAAAAACATCCTTCTCAACGTAAACAAGTAAACTATCACTCAACCATTGATCTCCCATTTTGTTCCGAAGTGGACCTTTGATAATATTCATGACGGAAAATGCCCTCTCAACTGAAGCAGTATCAACCGGTAAAACTAGAGCCAATGTAATAAGCAAATACACATAATTGAATGCTCGATGCATCCTTGTCTCCACCATTTTTTTTTGCAAGATCACCAATCCCTTGCAAGTTAGAGAAATCACTACTCGAACGCACATAATGAATATAAAGCTCAAGTTGATCTTCAAGTGCCAAAAGATCCTCATCCGAAAAGTCTTGAGGATAAAATTGAGCAAGACGACGTAGCTTTTGTTTATCAAAAGCTTCAAATGAATCATTCGGACTCAAACATGCCAAACAAATGAGCAACTCAGTATTTACCTCATTAAAACGATCATCTAACTCCGTAAGTTGCTCATCAATGACATAAATAAAGAGCTCCACACGATAATGATGACGATTTGTCTTTATTGGAGCATTACGCCTTGACCTCCCTGGAAGTACGAATGCCTCATCCATGTTAGGAACATCAATATGATGTTTGTCACAAAATGAAGACACCTCTTCAACCAATGCATCAACCCCATTATTCCTCATACAATGTAGCTTTTCCTTGCATGATTTCACCAAAGCCATTGCATTAACAATTTCTTGATCTTTCTTTTGCAATGCTTGTGACACATCATTTGTGAGTCCCAATATAGCTTTCATTAAGAATAAGTGAAACACAAACTGAAATGTAAGCATTTCCCTTTGAATCTTATTTGCTTCACCGGCACTATCATTAGGATTATCATCAATAATCATTTGAAGCACATGAATCACAGATGAAAACATGAAAATGATGCTAATAATGGTACCGTAATGTGAGCTCCATCGTGTGTCACCGGCACGTATGAGACTTGTTTCTTGATGCAAACCTCGCCCCGTTATAAGACAATCATTTTCAAAAGCTATCACAAGTTCTTCTTGGAGTTGTGCTCTAAGTGCATCACGCCGCTTACAAGATGCTCCAACATGGTTAACCACACTATTAGTGGTTGTGAAGAAAGAGGCAATATCAATATTCTTCTTTGCTACAGCAACAAGTGCTAGTTGAAGTTGATGAGCAAAGCAATGAACATAGTATGCACATAGTATGTGAAGAAAGAGGCAATATCAATATTCTTCATCCACCAATATAGAAAAGAATCTATCTTTTAAACCACTTATGATAACATCAAGTGTTTCCCCCGCACATGCATTGACAATATCTTTTTGAATCTTTGGAGCTACTAACTTGAGATTGCCCGGAGCATTTTCCAACACAACTTCTTTAACTTTCTCATCATTGTCTGCAAGGAATTGCAATAGCTCCAAATAATTTCCCCTAGTGCTTGAAATGGCACTTTCATCATTTCCACGAAAAGAAAGACCTTGTCTCAATAGAAACTTAGTGCACTTGATTGATGCAATTAAGCATCTTCGATATGCCACACGAGCTTGTTTGGAGTGTTTGCTCACAGCCGTTTCAATATGTGTATTTTGATTCATCAAATTTGTAGCAGCTTCTCTAGCTTTATTATGAACACTACCAACCGGTCCAACATGCACCTTCATTCTTTCTCTCCCTTTCTTCCAATTCTTAAACCCTGCTCCAGTGAAGGCTTCGCTACCCACTTGTTCAAAATTGGATTTAAAGAGATAGCAATAAAGACAAAATGCAGCATCTTTAGATACACTATACTCCAACCAATCAATTATCAAACCATTGGAGAATGAAGCGTCGATTAATTCCGGAGATATTACTTTGTGGGAAAGAATGACCTCTAGGTTGACAAGGTCCTTTTTGTAGATATGCTCTTCGAACATCATCTCTAATATTAGTATCATACTCAATCATACGAATTCTTAGTCCAGGGTCTGCCTGTAGATTAGCCAAAACATCATCTGACTCACATTGTCTTGAACTTGCAGTTCTTGAACTACCCACATTATCCGAAGGAAGAAATGAACAAAGTTCCATTTGCAAGCTTGGTAGGGTGTCTCATGTATGCAATGGTGTGCACACGCCCCGACTTAGCCCAAGCCGTAAGTGTGGTGTCAAGGTACATGGCGAATCCGGGCAAACAACATTGGACAGCAGCAAAATGGATTCTCAGGTACTTGAAGGGCACCAAGAGGATTGGGATATTGTTTGAAAGACAACAAGGAAAAGCATGTGTGTCGGGGTATGTAGATTCTGACTATGCAGGGGATTTAGACAAGAGGAGATCCACCACGGGATATGTCTTCATGTGTGGTGAAGGACCGATTAGTTGGAGAGCGATTCTACAATCGGTTAGTGCCTTGTCTACTACAGAAGCGGAGTATATGGCGCTAACTGAAGCTTCAAAGGAAGCGGTGTGGCTGAAAAGATTGGCAAAGGAATTCGGGATTGCCCAAGACTTGGTGGTGATACAAAGTGATAGTCAAAGTGCTATACACCTAGTAAAGAATCAAGCATTCCACGGAAGATCAAAACACATTGATGTT